CCCTTCTGGGGCTGCCCCCCCTTTCTTGTTGCAGCAGAATCCCTTTCTGCGGGGATGGACGTGTGCAAAGGGCTTGGAGGAAGCGCTGCGCTGCTGTCCGGGGCAGTCGGACTCGTTCTGTGCCTTCTTTGGGGCTCAGGGAAAGGGGGTGAAGACTCGGGGCTCTGATGCCTTTTGGGGCATCCCAAGGTCCCCAGGAGAGGGAACCCCACTGCGGTGCAGGAGCAGGTGGGTGACGGGCGGGGGGGGTCACGCTGGGTGCCTCAGCTCCCTTTTGCATGGAGCTGCTGAGTCGTGGAGTTCATGGGGAGCTCCCGGCGCTGTCTCGTGGAAGGACTGCGAGAGCTTCTCACAGGGTCTGGGGGAACACCTGGATTCGCGCTTGGATACGTGGAGCATCGCTTAAAGGAGGTGCCGAGGGACGAGTCTTTGTGCCGGGGAGCAGCAGCCGAACAGGTGAGCCCGTGTGGATTTGGAGCGGGGACTTTTGTCCTTCCCCTTTTGAATTTCACCTTGCCAATCACTCCCCAGTGCCCCCAGGGTAAAACAAAACAAAACAAAACAAAAAAAAAAAAAGGAGCTTATGAGGAGAAAATAAATTAAACAAAATAAATTAAACATAGAGAAGTAACTCCTCTTTCATTATTGTCTGTGTTTGAACTGGGGGTGATCCCCCTTCACTTGCAGTTTCAAGGGTGTTGATTGAAGGTAAACCTGCCTTTTCCAGGCTCTTAGGGGTGACAGGGAATCGCTGCACTCTATTTTAAATGGAAAGGGAAAAATGTTTATAAATATATACCATGTATATAAATATATACATTTATATACGATGTATGTAAATATACCAAAACACAATAATAGAAATCAATAAAATACAGGATACTAATTATACTGTATATGTCTTATTATATGTCATATATATACTATATCTAAGTGTAGAACATATAATAGTAAATATAATATAATGTAGTAATATATAATAGTAAATATAATATAGTATACAACCACTTAGGAATGTAAATATCAAAAATATAAATATAAAAATGTTTTAATATAGTTTAAAATAAAGGGTTTTTTTGGTTTTTATATGGTAATAAGGAGAGGTTTTATTATAAAAATTATAAATATAAATAAAGGTAGATATCTAAGTATAGATATATATCATAAATACATAAAGATATATATAAAAATAAAAAATCTACATGAATGGAAGTATTAGCAGTATATATGATGTATAATGAAAAAAATATATTATTACATTCTGATGTCTATTATATACATCAAAGAAGGTGTATATATTTATTATATTTATAAATATAATGCACTGATATAAACTATAAATGCACACGTGAATATAATTAGGAAAAATAGAAATATAAATAAATATAGTTGAAAAAAAAGGGCATTTTATAGTTTGTGTTTGGTTAGAGGAAGGGCTTTTTTTTAAAGAATATTAATATACTGAATAATGTTATATAGTTCTAAATATAGAAGTATAAAATCAATATATTAAGATATATTAAATATATAAAATATGAATAAATAGTAATAGGAAGGGATGTAGTATAGAATATAAATAACACTATATATCAATATTAATTTTAGATGTGAATGTAAATATAAATATGAAAATCTAAAAATTTTAAATTTTTTAAATTTATATTTAAAATATTTAAAATAAAGGGCTTTTTTGGTTTTTATTTGGGTAGAAGCAGGAGTTTTATTTTAAATAATATAAGCACTATATAAATATAAATCTCAATATAGAAATATATAATCAATATATAAAGATATGTATAAAAGAAGAAATACAAATGAACTAATAGGAATATATGTAATATAGAATATAAATTGCATTGAACGTCAATATACATTATAAATATAAATGTGGATATAATTATGAGAAACATATAAAGAAAATATATTTAAATATTATTAAAAAAAAAAGGCTTGGTTTTCTTTTGTTTGTTTTTAATGGGTTAGAGGAGGTCGCAGCGCTCCGCGGGCCGGGGGCAGCGGGCGGGGGCGGGCGAGCGGTGACGGAACAGGGCTGCAGCCCCCGAGCCCGCGCACGCCCCGCTCCAGGCGCTGGGAGCGACCGCGGGCCGGACAATCCCGGCGGGGCGGCGCGGCGCAGGAGGCGGAGCGGGGCCGTGGCTCTCCCCGCCGTCGCTGCCGCCAGCTTTGGAAGGTCGGGCCGGGCGCCCGTCCCGTCCCGCCGCCTCCCGGTCTCTGTAAACTCCTCTCTGGCTTCACAGGTCCGTGCTGGTTGCCGTGTCCTCGGTGGGCAGAGAGCTCTGGCCTTGGCCGGATGGGCTGGTAAGTATTGGATCAATGGGATATGCTTTTATGTATTTAGTGACCTTTACAAATTTATTCCCCAGGTTTTTTGAGTTCATAGAATCATGGAATAATTCAGGTTGGAAGGGGCTCTAAAGATCACCTCATTCCAAGCCTGCTGCCGTGGGCAGGGACATTTTTCCCAAGACCAGGTTGCTCAGAGCCTCATCTCAGAGCAGCCACAGCATCTCTGAGCAACCTGTGCCAGCCAGGTGCCAGGTGCCAGAGGAAGAAGAAAGCCCTTCCCACCTGGAGCAGAGGCTGCTGCATCTTCATGTAGCCTTGTGTCCCCGAGTGTGCGAGACAGAAAGGCCCTTCCCATGAAGGGTTAACAGCACTCAAAGATCTTTTTGGGAAAAGCAGAGCAGTGGAACGCCAAAGTACCCTTCAGTTCTTCCAGCAGATTTGGAACAACTTGAAGGGGGAGCAGAGCTGGCCTGGTGCATGCCAGCTCTGCAGGCAGTGGGGATGGAGAAGCTGCAGTTATCTGTCTTCTTGGCTGAGTCTTTAATAATGAGGCACTTTTCTGTAGTTCCTTTTCAAGCATTACGTGAAAGTTCCCCCTAGAAGTCCAAAGGCACCTGTTTTCTTAGCAGGAGTAAGTCAGGAAGAGGCAAAACAGGCAAAGACATCAGATAAGTCTGGGTAAAAAACTTGGCTAACCTATTTTTCCCCTTCCTCCAGACAGCCAGTTCTGAAGCACTGAGCAGAGATCTGCCCGGGAGGAAGAGCAGAGCCAATCTCTGATAACTGATGTGCGAGCTGTGGTGAGGACAGCTGCTCCCCTGCCTTGATATGGGACCTGCTGAGCTCCCATTCCTGTGGTGGGAGTGTTTCTCCTCTCATCCAGCCAAGCCAGAGACCTCCTAGGGAAGGAGCAGATAAGGTTTAAGTACCGAGATCTCCCAAGGAAGAAGTGACATGGCAAAAGGAAATGGCCTCAAGTTGCAGCAGGGAAGGCTTAGATTTGCTTTGAGTATCAATTTCTTCACTGAAAGGGTGGTCAGGCATAGGAGCAGGCTGCCCAGGGCAGTCCCCATTGCCGGAGACATTTAAAGCATGTCAAGATATGGTGTTTAGGAACCTGATTTGGCTGGGGGCTTGGCAGTGCTGGGGCAGCAGCCGGGCTCGATGACCTTAGAAGGCTTTTCCAACCTAAAGGGTCCTATGGTTCTGGAAAGCCCTGACCCCTCTGGCTCTGACACAGCACCTGGATGCTGACGGAAGGAGGCTGGTGATAGAGCCTGGAGGTCCCTGTCCCACAGGGAGAGGACAAGGCAGTGTCACCTGCAGGGAGGGTCTCGTCCCCAGAGGTCAGTCAGCGACTCCATCCCTGCCCGGGGCTCTGGGTGCAGCCTCGGGGTGGACACCTGCCCTCAGTTTTCCCTCTGGGCACCCGGGAAGGGAACCAAGTCCATCTGTGTGGCAGCTCCAGGGCCTGCAGGCTTTGGGGCTTTGCAGCTGTGTCCCTTGTCACAAGGAGGCAGGGATGTGACACTGCCTGGCCATGCTGCTGGCCTTGGATCCTTGCTGCTTTCCTCCTTATCCCATATGGATTTACCAGCAATCTTCTGTCTTTTCATTAAAACTGTCCTTGGGATAGTTCAAAGAGAGGGTAATTAGTTATTTCAAAGCCTAAATATTTTACCTATTGGCATTCAAGAGAAAAGACAAAAACCTGCTTTGCATCCTTCAGCCTGGAAGTCATTGTCACACAGATAAGTGAGGAAGGGGCTGGCCGGGGTCAGCCTCTGCAGAGCCTCAGCTCTGGCTGCTCCTGCTTCCAGGGTAAACCCAAAAGCTGTTATGATCAAAAATGCAGGCAGCCCTTCTGTCCGGAGTCACAGGGGCCATTTCTTCTAAATTACTCAAGATGGGAAATGATTCTTGGAACTTCAGAAGAAAAAAACCCCAAAAACATACATACATTTATAAGAGTGTGTATATACATACATTTCCTTCAATAAGGAAGAAAATCTTAGAAATATCATGTCATGTCTGGCTTCCTAGAGAAGATCCTTAACTCTGGGCTTCTGAAAGCAAATGGCTGTGCATTTATAGGAGCATTATATGCCTCCCACAGTAATCTTCTACCCTTCCCCATGGAAAGGAGAGTTTGGTGATTTTGCTGCTCTGCTCTCCCAAGGGTGTTGCAGGCTGTGTGGCAGGGAGCAAGGCCTTTGTCGCTGCTCATCAGACATTTTCCCACAGAATTCTCCCTGCAAAGATAAAATTAGACTTATGTTAGTGAGCAGTCAAGTAGAGCAGGTAACATTAGAAAAGAATTGTTTCTGAGCAGCTGTTCACTAGCATTTGCTTCCCCTTTCCAGCAGAGTGCAGCCGCCCAAGAAAGGATTTTTTGTGACTCAGCCAGATGTTCTCCTGCCTCCCGCCAAGACCCTGAGATGGAGCTGAGTTTGCATTCCAGTTTATTGTAACAGAGGTTTATCTGAAGTTTTCTCAGCTATCTGAGGCACAGAGCCCTGGAACCAAGTAAGCCTGAGGTGCTGCATGCTTGCTGTGCGCCTTGGGGTGACTGTGCATCATTGCAGGCTTGGGATTGACTGATATGCGCTAAGGAAACCGGAGGGAGGGAGGGAGGGAGGGAAATCCTCTGTTAACATGTGCCAATTCTTCTGTCAAACTCATCACGGCAGGACGGCGTGAAGACTGAAAGTGTAAGAAGATGTGGAGGGAAACAGAGAATCTGACAGGAGCATCGAACACACAGGTGCACGAATTTTGCTGGGATTTAAACTCAGAAGTTGTAAGGAATTTGGGAATGAGAAGGGACATTTCAGAAGGAGAAGAAGGAGAAGAAGTTGTTGTTGTTACAGTCCTGGCATAATCTTTTGTTCTAGCTAATAAAGGAAGTTAGTTTAAATTAAAAAAAAGAAAAAAATGTGGGTTTTTTTCCTTCACTATTATATTAATTGGTGGTATACGGTGTGTTGTTTTATTTCTTGGTATTATTAACTCTGTGTAAATTGTTTTTTGAGTGAAGCTAACTTTCTGGATGGGTTGGTTTGTATTTGAGGTGGGATTAATTTCAATAGGTTTCTTTAATAGACTTCTGATAGGTATTACTTGGATTTTGGTTTTGTTTGCTGTATGTATAAACATACAGATTTGGTAGGGCCAGCTCGGCTGCTGGAGTTTAGCAAATGCCCTAAATTGTTTTTTGTTAAATCCTATGACCAGTTTTAGGCAGTGACTTTATACTGCTTTTAGGATTTTCTTATGCAATGGTGAGAAAATAGGCAGGTCTGATACTAGTTTGACTTTTTTTGTACTTAATGTTTCATGAAATTCTTTTAACCAAGCACTTTTTTTAAAATTCTACTGTAGGCATTTATGGTTCAATTTTTTTTCCTTTTAGCACCCACGACTTTTTTGTTTCTCTAAACTGGCAGTAAATGTAGGTGAGTAAAATTACCTTGGTTTTCTTCCTTCTCTTTTGACTTAATTGTTTTTATTAATAATTCTATTTGAATATGCAGAAAAAGTGGGTATGTCCTGTAATCTATCCTAGCTTTTCTCGTTTACAGGGTACTCAGAAAATATGTCTCCCTTAGAGTCCCACAAAAACATTCTGGGTGAAATCTGAATTAAGGTATGTGTTTACAAATAAGTGATCAGTTTAGATATTTGCCTGTGTACCTTTTCCTGTAATTCAGAGCTTGCGTTCTGTGGTTTTTATGATAAACCTATAAGACATGTAAAAATGGTTTTGCAAGTCTTAATTGTTGAAGGCAGCAATAAGTGGTTTTAAAGCCTCTTCTTGACCAGACAAAGGGAAAAAGTGTGACTTTGATGCTGAACTTGTCATTTTTCATTTGACTTGCCTTGAATTATTGAAGAAGAGAGAGAACTAGGAAAAGAGAGAAATAGAATTGGTTATTGAGCCCTCCTAAAATGCTCACTGTGATTCTGTGTAGAGCCGAAGTGAAGGGTGATGGAACAGAGCTCTGTCCATTAGAAGGAAATAAACCTGATCTCCACACAGAGTCTTACTAATTTCTGTTTTTAAAATGCAAAATAAGTTTAGGAAGTGTTGGAAGTTAGTATTTGGGGAAAGAAATAGTTCCACAAAACATTCCATTTAACAGAGGCCCTTGGGACGATTCATTTTGTAACCGCTGTCACTGGAATCGGTTGGTGGTTCAGCCTTGAAATGTGCACTTGCCCTTCCATAAAGCCCTATTTCATTTATGTTTCAGTGCTATGAGTCTTGATAAATTGGAGAAGAGCCCAAGAGAAATTCATCATCCTGAGATACAAAAGGTAGGAAGTGACTTTTTTTTGTTTGGTTCTTTTTATTTCTTATTTTCTGGAAATAGAGGTAATTAAGTATAGATACTACTGGTTTGTTTCTTCCAGTAGCTGATAATAATAATACTAATGCCAATAATAATAGTAACAGTAAGAGTAAAGTAATACTACTTAAACTGTCTTTATCCATTGAACTGGCCATTTCAAATCAAAACTTCTAAACACAAATAAAACCATCATCCTTGTAGAATCTTTAATAGGAGTGGGCTAAAGATACTGTTTTTGTTTACAGGATTTATTGGTTCATGAAGAGTAAGAGGTAAGTACAAGCCTAACTACCTCTAGCTCACAGACCTGTCCAGTGAATAGAGCTTTGTATTTTGATGGGCTTATGATGACTTTGAAATCAATTGCTCATTACAGTAAAAAAAAAAAAAGTTGTTTTGAACATGACAGCAAAAATAACTTTAAGCACAACTTAATAATAATAGATCACCAATTTAAGTTAATAATTTTATGCTCTACTGTTGGGTGAGGAAAGACACGGACACTCAATATGAGATCAGCAAGCTCTGTTTATTGCAGAGAGCATCAGACACTTATACAGCACATAATAAGCTTATGAATATTCTGTAAGCCAAGCGATCTATTGGTTAAACTATACCATCAACTCTTCCTCATTCCTTTGGGCCTCCATTCCCCATTTCCCATGTCTCTCTGTCTACTTGTTATCATACCCAGCTAGGCCCAGGGACACGCTATCTTGCAGGTGCAAAAAAACTCAAACTAGCTGTGTTCGGTACTTTCCCAGCTCCTGGTCGGCTAACAAGCGAATGTCTACGTGACCTCTGTCATGTAGCCATTTCTCCACACTATACTATCAAAGTTTAAAGGTAAATTATTATGTATTAGGAGATGGTAGAAAGTGTACGTTCTAATGTGTAGGATATATACAAAGATACATACTTGAAAGTCCGTAGAGGAAACAAATTTTCACGTCTTCTGTTTGACTGTTTGTCATATAATATTTGGTTTTATTTCCCAGGGATCGGTGAATTTTAACTCTGGAATCCTCTATGCTAATGATAGTCAGCTTACAGATGATTAAATGTTCAGTAATGGTGAGTTTTTCACCTTCTCCTTCATTGTTTTGCTCATCTGAATTAAAAAAAAGGCAAGATTAAAGAAAAAGAAATAGTTTTATTATTTTTTACCCTGTTATGTCTGTTTCCTCAGTATTTGCTGGAGCTGTGCTTACCCAAGCTTTGGGTAAAACAAGCTTTGGGTTCCTTCTGTCTCACTAGGAGTTGCCCAATTCAGTTGCATCTGGTGAAATTCACCCTGAGACCTTACAGAACTAGCTCAAACTATGTGAGAGCCATTTGCAGGTCTCTCCAGACACCTGGAGAATGGGTGATACTTCTGAGGATCTGGCAAGTGTAGTTATCCAAAAAGGTACAAAGACTAAAAAAATCATAAGAAGCAAATAGGACTTCAGAGAAAACAAACTGGAGAGAACAAAAGGTGATATTGTTATCCTTATCCTGTATTAGAAACATCCACTGTGCTTTGATGCTGGTAGCTGCCAGGGGCTTGTTTGGTCTGTTTAGGCAGGTGTAGGTGTTCACTTGTAGGTTTTTTCTCTGGACAAGTCAATTCAAACTTTGCTAAGCTTACATTTGAAAATTACTCTCTAGAACAGTCCAGCATGACATGCTGGATGTCGTCCCCCAGAGGGACCCAAAGCTGCCAGAAATTTCACAGGGAGGGGTGGGTGTAGAATACTAAAACCTGTCAAGTTTTTCATTTTTATAGGTATTGGCAAAGAAAAGGAATTTATCTCTAAATTCATTTGGAAAGAAACCTTCTCTCTATCCACTCATTTGTATACAGGAATGTAGGAAACTCTGACTAGAGATGGGTAATAGTTTTGAAAATAAAGACATAAGTTTTATCTAGGAATGAACCAATCAAGTGCCCTGAAAGCATAAGAACAGCTGCAGGAGCTGAAGGGAATAGAAAGGGTTCTCTGGCAACTTTTGCCTCAGTTCTCTACCTGCCCCCAATGTACGTCGCAGCCCCGGCCTGAGCTCGGTGGCACTGCTGCCGCCTTGTGGACAGAGGGCGGTACTTCCGCCCCCCGACCCAGTGCCAGTTTTCCTTCCAGTTGTAAAACTGCAAACATCGCAGTGTTCCTCTGACACCAGCGGTTCTAGGAAGTAGAGGTGTAGGTGGCCTTGGCCTCCCACAAGCCCTCATGTCAACTTACTCTGAAACATTAGGGTGGAAGTTATTCTATCTCATGAACAGAGGTACCTTTTCCTTACAGGTGCTTGTGCTGTAGTTTGGATTCTGCTTCCTAACATTTCTAGTGTGACAGGGTTTACCATAGAGACAATCTGCCAGGAGGCAGCACTTTGGGGGGCATGGCAGTCCCGGCTGTGTATTCTTAACTCCTTCAGAATGTTAGGTTTGAAGTATTTCTTATCTCAGGAAAACAGCAGTCTTTTGCATCTGCATATCAGCTGTTGAAATTTTGGGTTCAATTTCTTGAATCACAAATGTCACAGGATTCCTCCCAGATGGCAGCTGCCATGAAGTATGGCTCTTCTTGGTCTTGGGTTTCAGGGGCTGTTTCCAAAGTGACCTACAGACATTGGAATGAAATCATTATTTACTGTGTAAAAGAATTACGCTCCAAAGCATCAGCCAGGTCTAAATGTGTCATTCTGCCTTTTAAAAGTACCAATATCACAGGATTTTTCTCAGATTAAAGCTTCCATGGAGTCGGATCTCTCAAGCCTGGCCCTGGCCCTTGAGAATTGTGGGCCTCCTGTGAACTGGTCTTGCCAGAAGGGCTTGCTGAGTTTTCCATTGTGTGGAAAAGAGATCCCATTTGGAGCCTGAAGCCTCGTGTTTCCTGTAGGATTTCCACTCCTAGAATTGCACACTTTGAAGGATTTCTTATAGCAGAAGTTGTCTGGCAACTAGGACTCTGGCTGGATTTGGGTCTCTGGACTCTCAGGTGAAGTGACCTTGAGACACTAGGGCATGCAGGTTTCCTTGCTGTTGAAAGCACTATTCGCACTCCTGTTCACACCCAGGAGCCATGGTCTGAATGGGGGTGTCACCTCTTAAATTTGCAAATGTCACAGGATTTCTTCTAAATGAATGGTGCTAAGAACATAAGGTCTGGCTGGCTTTCGACTTAGAGGTGCCTCCTCTAAATTGGTTTTCAGATGCTAGGTTGGAAAGTGTTCCTACACATGCCAAATAGCCCTTGCTATGCAGTTAATAAGCTTCAAACTACCATGGAGTTGCTGCCCCTGCAAAGATTTTGGCAGAGCCTGGTTATGGTGCCCCATTCCACTCCACCCCCCTTAGCAGGTCCTTATGGTTGTATGGGGAATCATTGGGGAGCATGCCAACCCAGCTCCATCCTGGGAACAGCGCCTGTATTTTACCCTAAAATTTCTGTCCCATTATAGCTCCTGTTAGGATACAAATGTAACTTCTCAGTTTCCTCTGATTTTAC